GCCTATTCCGAATACATTATTCTTGACCAATGGTAGCACTTGAACTCTTCAATTTGGAAGTAAAAACACGGTAGCGTCTAGATTCTACACACTTGGTTAAGCAGGAAACGAAAATATACGTTGACATTCATACATTTGTGCAAGAAACATACACAGGAACTTCTATTAGTTGATTAAAAACATTCAAATTGTCACTAAATATAGTCGTATGTTTAGGGATGTAAAGACTTGTTGTACAATAAGCACATGGCAATTGTTAACATACACTTTCTACATTTACACGTGATCATGTTATAGACGCTTTTTGATTGGATGCAGCGAGTTTCGACTGCAACCAATGAAAATCATTACCTTGTGTCTCCGAAATTCTATCTCAATCCGCCAAGGATGGAGAGGAGGGAAGTGGATCGTAACCCTTGGCTAGCGAAGATGTGGAGAGGAGGGAAGTGGATCGTAACCCTTGGCTAGCGAAGATGCGAAAAAGCTCACTTGGACCTTTGGGTCAGGTAAGTTCAAAGGGAAGTGAATTACAAGAATATACACTTGCTTAAATGTTAGTCCAAAGCAATGTCCAATTTACTGATAACCACTTGTGTCTGCTATATCATTTTTTTTTCGTGTTAGATTCATTTACACTGAATTATAAAAGACGATAACGAGACTATTCTAATGTAAGCACTTAGTGAAGTAAAAGGTGAAAGTGAATCAAATATTCAAGTGTAATTGCATTTTAGACCTATATAGAACACTAGCTATAGCTACTAGTTTAAACATAATCATTTCCAACGAATTTTAGGGACACCAAGGGTAACTGGGTATAGCAATATGCCCTCGCTAAATATAACATGAGTGCACACGCTGAAATGTCTCGCCTGCTTTACTGACCATTGATTTTTGATATTGAAAGTCAGTAAGATAAAACATTTTTAATGATTCATAACATTAAGGTCAAGGTCAGAAAATCCTGTCAGACTGACATGTTTGCTTACAATAATTCTGTACATCAAATATAATTGACCTTTTGCTTATGGCAATTGAAAAACAGACCAAAAGACAAAAACTTACCATTGACCAATGAACCATGAAAATGAGGTCAAGGTCAGATGAAACCTGCTAGACTACCAGTTTACAATCATTCCATACACCACATATAGTTGACGTACTGCTTATTGTATCTGAGAAACGGACCTAATCATGAAACTATAACCTTGATTACTGATCCAAGAAATGAGGTCAAGGTCAGGTGAACCCTATCTGATGGACATGTAGAGGATGCAAGGATCATACATACCAACTATAGTTATCCTATTACTCATTAGTAAGAATATCACATGATAAAAAACTTTTTTTTTCAAGCAGGTCCTGAACCATGAAAATGAGGTCAAGGACAACATGATAGATGGAAACTTCTTATCATAAGGTATCTGCATACAAGGTATAAAGCATCCAGGTCTTTATACAAATACTTTACGCTGCCAGATTGTAACCTTTTGTCTCGCATACTGGTCGCAGGTGAGACAAAAATCAAAAGATGCGGTACAAATTTACATGGTCCAAATGGACTTAACCCAGATGTTTCATGTAAAAAGTAAAACAACAAAAATACCAAACCCAAGGAAAATTCAAAACGGAATGTCCCTCAACAAATGGCAAAATCAAAAGCTCACCAAACGAAATCACATCAAACGAATGAACTACTGTCATATTCCTGACATGGTACAGGCATTTCCTTATGTAGAAAATGATGGATTAAACCTGGTTTTATAGCTAGCTAAATCTCTCACTTGTATGACAGTAGTGTAAAATTCCATTATATTGACAACAATAGTCAACATATGTGGTTCCGTGTCTGCTATTTGGACTTGAAATTGTGAATCTTAATCTAATGACATTTATCGTATGGATATTTTATGCAATAAATTTAAAGCAAATTCAGAACCTTCATACTAGAGCGTCAAATGCTGGGGTATATCTTTTTCTGGGGGACTTGCCAATTACAGCTCTATTACACAAAAAGATTCTATCAACTTTTGGTACAATAGCTAGATCCTGTTGAGAACGATCTCTCCAAACCTCAATCGTCTACAAAGGGCAAAAAAGCTGGTTTATCAGAACTGAAAAGATTCTAAGACAATATAACTCCATGTGCTTCTCCGTCTATTTATATTTGTTTATATAGGGTCGAGTTACTATCGGCTGTCTTCGGAGGTAATCATAATGGTCAATTAGATGGCGTCTAGTCTAAAATACGCAGGAAATGCTGATAGCGAGTCTATGCATTGTTTATTGTTTCTTTTGGACTTTTTGTCATTTGGAATTACGTTTTAGTATGTTATGAATCAAATATGAGAATTTAAGTCAAATCTATGATCATAAATTTGACATCTAATGCCCCTCGAAAGATGAGGGTGCGTAGTAATCTGTTGCTGCATCAATCGATTTTTTTATTATAGAAAAATATCGATACCAAAACATCAAAAAATAAAATGTCATTGGATAATGTCAGAACGGTTGTCATTATTTGACATTCAAATAAATGGTAATTTTGAATAAAATCTTAAAATTTGATTCAGTGCATATTAGCACCTTTTGTGTGTTGTGTCATAAACATTTGCAACAAACCTACACCTGCTTCAGCTGTTATGATTTTGATGTTGATGGCTTATAATATAAAACCGCCACATACAGGAATTATGCATTATTTTTCATTTTTTCTCTTGAGTTGATGTTAGCGTATCTGCTTAATTTCTGTGTTTTTATAAGCCATTGAAGGATCCTTCTTTTCACTTCCTTTTTTGATTAATGCCAATGATTTGTAAAGCATTTTCACAATTTGCTACATGTATTCAAAAGTCCATCACTAGGTACATGACTAGGACTTCTGGTGTGATTGAATTTGTTGAAAAAAACTAAAGGAATTTCTCTCCTTTTTCATTCAGTATTTGTTTTAACATCAAATATTTGTCTGTCTCTTGACAATACAGGACGCAATTTCCCACTCTGTATAACCTTTTATCATCAATTTCAATTAAAACTGTGAAAGAATAAGCTGTAAACCATCCTGGTTGTTAGTTCTTCTTGTGTACTCCGTAACATCAGCCTTGATAGTAGTAAATTGAAACTCGCACATCCCTATTAAATAAACTCATCATAGATACCAGACTTAAAATTCCGTATGCCAGACGTGCGTTTCGTCTACAATAGACTCATCAGTGACGCTCGAATCAAAATATTAAAAGAAGGCCAAATATAATTCTAAGTTAAAGAGCATATTCAATAAACACTAGGCTGAATGTTCTTTGAATTACCTAGCATAATGTATGTGTTTTTTTGTCCCTGCATAACAACAAACATGGTTCTTATAGCAAAAAAAAAAAAAAGAAGGAAAATAATGGTAAAATGAGAGGGTCTATCTTGAAAACCATAATATATAGAAACAAGAATATGAATTCCAATGACAGCAAGGACTCCTTGCACTCTCACATTTCCAAATTCAGTGTACCACAAACGCTGGGTCCAAACCCTAATTTGGCAGTTCATATAAAAAAGAACATATGTAGTAAGTTTCAAGTTCATGTGATCACATCTTCAAGGTATACTTACTAAAACCAAAATTCTAACATTCCTTAACTTAAACTTGAACTTGATCATCTAACAACTAAATCTTGGTCAAAATACTAATTATTTATAAATAATAAACATGTGTACTAACTTTTAATTTGATTGTAGACAAACCTTAAACCTGATCAGTCAATTATAGCAAAATCCAAAAACTAATTTGGAATATAATAAGTTGACATAAAAATAGTTATGTGTACTTAATTTCAAGTTGATGTGATCAAAGCTTCATAGTAAACTATCTTAAAAAAAGTTAAAGAAATCTTAAACCGAAATGGACTGTCGAAAGAAGAACAGACAGACACAAAGACAAAAAAAATAAAGTCCCCAACAATCTAAATTTCTTGTAAGGAATAGATTAGAGGTTTCAGTCATGTTGGCCTTTTTGTTTTACTGTAAGTGTTGCTCTCCACCTATTGCAATAAATTCTAAATTCTGACCAAATTGCAATTTGTTTTATCAAACCAAATTGTTCAACTGGTCAGAAATTTGAAAAAAAACTGCTGTAGAAAACCACATTTAAGTCGTGAAAGTGCAAGGTGATAAAATAAAGCATACTTAAAGTCCTAATAGAGTTTAATTCCACTTGATTGTTTATTATGAAATTGTTTATAAGAATTTCTATACATTCTTTTATTGTAATTGTCATTCAAAAGGTGATAGGGAGTAATTTTTGAACTGCTAAAAAATGTGTAAATTTAAATTTTTGAATCATTTCTTCTAAAATGGCATTTTTCTATGCATGCTACAAAGCTTACTTTAAATTAATCTCTAGAATACTTTTCTCTTGAAGTTTTAAAGGGAGATAAGATCAATATGTCAACTGATCAATGATTTTAGATTATCTCCTATGGAAATTTAATACATTTGAGGTTTCAGTCATGTTGGCATTTTTTTTGGTAGATATTGTATTGCTGATAATTTTTATGATTAGTTTTTGAACTGCTAAAAAATGTGTAAATTTAAGTTTTTCAATCATTTCCTCTAAAATGGTGTTTTGCTATGCATGATACAAAGCTTACTTTAAATGAATCTCTTTAATACTTTGTGAAATGAACTTAAAGCTTAAATATGTTCTCTTGAAGTTTTAAAGGGAGATAAGATAAATATTTCAACTGATCAATGATTTTAGATTATCTCCTATGGAAACTTATTAACAATGTATTGTAATTTCACAAATTCAAACTGATGTCTTATTCTTATGAATTTGGAAGATTTTTGAAAAGAAAAATTGTTTTGAAACTTTATATTTTCAATGGTCAAATCCTACTTAACATACAGACTATATTGTCTGTGATATGATAAATCAATACAAATAAGAACGGAAAAACGTGAGAATATCAGCAAGTTATAAATGGGGTTTGGATAATTGTTAAAAGTCAATCTGTACAAATGTTTTATTCCTTAAAATCACATTTATCTGAAGACTCTCATTTGTTTCTTAATCTATAGCACAAACCAGTTCCCTTGAAAGCATTTGAAATCAAGAGGCTCATGAAAGCCTGATATCGCTCACCTGTAATTTCAGTTTCAGGCATGTGACTTATTTGTACATCTTACTTTGCTGAACAATTTTGTCATTTACACTTTCTCTATAATAATATTAAAGATAATACATAACCCAAAACTGTAAAAAATTTCCTAAAAAATAACTATTTCTATAACCCTGCAATAAGTTGTCCTATTGGTCTGAAGATTACTTGACAGGTAGATTAAAACCTGTTTAACACTTTCACCTATGTCAGTTTTGCTCTTTCTGCTTTAGTTTTTGAGATGAAAGCCAACACTTCATTTGACCCTTATGTTCTATTTTTAGAAACTGCCGCCATGTTTTTGAATGGATCAAATCCCTGAATACAATCTATAAACTAGATACCCTAAGGAACATTCAATTAAAGTTTTTAAGTATTTGCCCAAGTAGTTTCAGAGAAGAAGATTTTTGAAAAAGTAATTAGACTTTCACAAAAAATTTAAAAACAAGAATGTGTCCATAGTACATGGATGCCCCACTCGCACTATCATTTTCTATGTTCAGTGGACCGTGAAATTGGGGTCAAAACTCTAATTTGGCATCAAAATTAGAAAGATCATATCATAGGGAACATGTGTACTAAGTTTCAAGTTGATTGGACTTCAACTTCATCAAAAACTACCTTGACCAAAAACTTTAACCTGAAGCAGGACAGACGGACGGACGAACGAACTAACGGACGCACAGACCAAAAAACATAATGTCCATAAATGGGGCATAAAAAAACGTTTTAAGGGCAATAACTCCTTAAGGGGTGAATTGGCTATTTTGATCATGTTGACTTATTTGGAGATCTTACTTAGCTGAACATTTATTGTTATTTATGCTTTCTCTCTATCTATTATAATATTAAAGAAAATAAACAAAAACAGTAAAATTTAATAACTAGAGGCTCTAAAGAGCCTGTGTCGCTCACCTTGGTCTATGTGCATATCAAACAAAGGACACTCTCCAACATTGTAGAGGAGAATAGACTTCATGACAAAAATCTCTATTTTGTTGATCTTGTATTACTGATCTTTTAGTCTGTTAAGTTTCTCTCTATCTTCTTTAGTTTTTGCTCAAAACACAAAAGAGGGTAAAAAAAATCCTCATTTAAGGGCTATCACTCCTATGAAGAGTGACAGTCTACTAACTACATCGGCAAAATTTGACTTTTTAATAGATCTGGCCTTGCTGATCATTTATGTGATTTAAAGTGTTTATTTATCTATTACAATTTAAATCATATAAGGCACAACAGGAAAAAAAAATGTTTCTCTCTAAATATCATAGTTTTCATGGTAATAGGCAAAAATGAAAAAAAATGGTAAAATTTGTCATTTATGGGCAATAACTCCTATAAGAATAGTTCTAACAGTTTTGACATATATGGACAATTGGTAGAGCTCATTATTCAGAAAATTTTTGCCCCTTTCAGATTTTCTCTATTTATAACGGTTCAAAAAATAATAGACAAAACTTGAATTTTACCCCTATGTTCTATTTTTAGCCATGTCGGCCATGTTGGTTGGTAGGTGGGGTCATCGGATACAATTTTTAAACTAGATACCCTAATGATGATTGCAGCTAAGTTTGGTTCAATTTGTCTCAGTAGTTTCAAAGGAGAAGATTTTTGTAAAAGATTACAAAAATTTACAAAAAATTGTTAAAAATTGACTATAAAGGGCAATAACTCCTTAGGGGTCAATTGACAATTTTGGTCATATAACTTTTTTGTAGATCTTACTTTGCTGAACATTTTTGCTGTTTATAGTTTATCTTTATCTTCAAGATAATATCCAAAAACTGCAAAATACCCTTAAAATTACCAATTAAGTGGCAGTAACCCAACAATGTGATGTTCGGTTCGTCTGAAAATTTCAGGGCTGATAGATCTTGACCTATTGAACATTTTTACCCCGTCAAATTTGCCCATAAATGCTTTAGTTTTTGAGATATAAGCCAATAAAATGCTCCGCTGGGCACAGCTTGTTACCACTGCAAACCGCCACGACCCTGAACAGTTGGGGCAAGTATGGACACAACATTCAAGCTTGATACAGCACTGAATTTGGATTGTGATTAAATATTTGACACAGCATAGGTTTCTGACACAGAATGAATGTGGTCTAAGAACTTAAAATTTTTTAATTTACCTATTCAAACCATATCATTATTATTTGCTTTTATATATAAATCAGAAATAACCAATTTAAAATGGAAAATTTTAAAGAAAAAAAAAACCCTCCCCCATATTTTTTGAACCCCCTTATGATTCATCACCCCAAACTCAATCCCAGCCTTCCGTTTGTGGTATGGTACCTTGCAGTACAATTTCAGAGAGATCCATACACTTGAACACAAGTTATTGTCTGGATTCTAGAAAAATGCTTGTTTTTAGGCCCCTTTTAGGCCCCAAATTCCTAAACGTTTAGGGCAATTATCCCCAAACTCAAACCCAGCTTTCCCTTTGTGATATGGAACCTTGTAGTACAATTTCATAAAGATCCATACACTTACACACAAGTTATGTCTGGAAGTTACAAAAATGCTTATTTTTTGCCCCTATTTCCTTAACTGTTGGTACCATAACCCCCAAAATCAATCCCAACCTTCCTTTTGTGGTATTGAACATTATGGTAAAATTTCATAGAGATCCATTCACTTAAACTAAAGTTAGAGTGCGAAAACCAATGTGTCTTAGGACGACTACAACAATGACGATGACCACGCTGACGAGGCCAACGTCATACCAATATACGACCGCAAAATTGTTTTTGCGGTCGTATAAAAACTGCATTTGACCCCTATGTTCTATTTTTAACCATGGCAGCCATGTTTGTTGATGGATCAAAACTTCGGATACAATTTATAAACTCGATACCCTAAGGAACATTCAGTTAAAGTTTGGAAGTATTTGGCACAGTAGTTTCAGAGGAGATTTTTAAATATTAGCAAACATGATGAACAAATTGTGTAAAATCATCTTTAAAGGGCATTCCCTCCTTAAGGGGTCAATTGGGCAATTTTGGTCATTTAACTTTTTTGTAGATCTTACTTTGCTGAACATTTTTGCTGTTTACAGTTTATCTTTATTTTCAATAATATTCAAGATATTAACCAAAAACTGCAAAATACCCTTAAAATTACCAATTTAGTGGCAGCAACTCAACAATGGGTTGTTTGGTTCGTCTGAAAATTTCATGGGGTGATAGATCTTGACCTATTGAACATTTTTACTCTGTCAGATTTGCCCATAAATGCTTTAGTTTTTGAGATATAAGCCAAAAACTGCATTTGACCCCTTTGTTCTATTTTTAGCCATGGCAGCCATGTTTGTTGATGGATCAAAACTTCAGATACAATTTATAAACTCGATTCCCTAAGGAACATTCAGTTAAAGTTTGAAGGTATTTGGCCCGTTAGTTTCAGAGGAGGAGATTCTTGAAATAGTTTACACGGACGACAGACGCCAAGTGATGGCATAAGCTCACATGGGGCCCCTTGGGCCCCGTGAGCTAAAAAGAAAAAAGCTCTGGCTGACAACCAAATGAAAAATCAATCTTTCATAGAGAAGTTTTGAAATATGTATTAAGTTTACAGTATGAACAAAATGAATGCAGTACACATCTTGTCTATTTCACTTGTTCAAAAACTTTTAAAATATCTGTGAATGTTATGTATCAAAATATCTTTGAGGTTATATTATGTATCAAAATATCCGTGATGTTATGTATCAAAATATCTGTCATGTTATGTATAAAAATATCTGTCATGTTATGTATCATAATCATCATCATCATGCTTCCTTTTAAGAGAATTGTTAGATATGAGTGAGGCTGTAGACTGTGATATCTGTAATGTCTTAGACAACAAAGCTGAAGGATGCAGTGAGGATGACATAGGCTGACTGGCATGAATGGGTTGTAAACTTGTACCTTGAAAATATAGAATACAAAGTCACAAGGATGCAATATAAAACAATATGTTTGCTAGCATTAATTAATTAACACATTCTTTACTGTACTGTTTCTGCATGCACAGCACCTACCTAGCTTAGACTAATGTGACATGTGCAAGGAGAAAACAAAATTGGAAATACATTCTTATCTTCATTGTTTCTTAACAAATAGGTATCCAAATCCAAAGAAAAACACTTTTGTAATAAAGGATAATAACAAATGAATGAAGTTTTGTTTACTTTTTTTGTAACCTGTAACATATGAGATAAAAAAGATTGTAATTGGAATCACAATAGTCAAATTTCTGTAATCAGTTTTATCTTTGTCCTTCAATTTGTTAATTTACAGACATATTCATGTGTTCCATAGTGCCCAGAGAGAACCACAGGTGTTCCATAGTGCCCAGAGAGAACCACAACCTTCGGCAGGAAAACTGACAATCCTTAAGTCAATTAAGACTGGAATTGAACCTACCTGTCATGTGCTGGGTTCAAACTCACAGCATTCAAATTTGATGACTTGAATGTCTACACATGAGTACAAAACTGAAATATCTTGCCTGCTTTACTGATTGTGATTGAATCTTATGTTAGAAGTCTTCCTTTACACCAATTACATTTGACCTAATACTTAGAGTCCGACTTAACATGAGAATGAGGTCAAGGTAAAAATGATCAAATGTCAGATAGACATGTTCAACTCATTCTAAACATCAAATATAGTTGACCTATTACTTATGGAATCTGAAACAAAACCTAACCTCAAAAACATAAATCCCTAGCAGGGTTAAACCAAAGACTTTCAAATTTGTATTTTCTGCTTCTTCTCTAAGCATGTGGCGTTTATATATAATTAGGAGTTAGAGCAAAGACTATAGCTTGGAGTCAGAATAATGTGTCCAAGTAAAGTAACATATCTTCCTGCAGGCTGTTAGATTGTGAACTAGCACTCTAAAAAAACTGGCTCAGCGTGTCTGCCTAGTACAAAGCAGGGTTCATATTCATATCACATTATAATGTTCCCGTCCTGAAATGCATTTAATTTGCCACTGAACATTAAACAGGCATTCTTCCATCCATCAAAATTATAACATTGATCACTGAACTCTGAAATAAGGTCAAAGGTCAGGTGACACATGTTTGACAGACATGCAAACATTGCAATGATTCTATATACCAAATGAAGCTGTCCTGAAAAAATAGATCAAAAACTAAAATGGCTGGCAGATTGCATGGATTGTTTCTTAAACAATTGAGAATGGTCTGATCTGAGTTAAAAACAAAAAATTGTTTCCATCTTTTGAAATTTTTGTTGAATCATTTAGTTCCCAGGTCTTGAGAAACATGAAAAAATTATTCAAATAATTCCATAATAGCAGGAGCACAACTTCTGTGCAGTTTCAAGGATCCGGGTTATAAAAATTGGTTCCACATTCTGTAAATTTAAATGAAAAACAACCAAGTTCTTAAGTCTGGAAAAATGAGAAAAAGTTCCTCAAATTATTCCATATTAGCACAAGTTCAACATATGTGCAATCTTTCTGTGAAGTTTCAGGGATCTGAAATGAAAACTGTAAGGGGAGTTGATTACACAAAACACAAAAAAGTTCCAAAGTCTGCATAAAAGGGAAAAAAATCCAAGACAGGTGCACAACTTCAATATTTGTGCAATTTCTTTGTAGAATTTCAGGGCTATTGGTTGAAAACTGTAGAAGGATTTGATTTCACAAATTAGATATCCATTTTTCTCTGTCTGCCCATCCAACATCACCAGGTTGTTCTTTCCTAATTTAGGGTTAAAATATCATAGCATAGGTAATAAAGACCTGCACCATGAGCGCATGATATGTCCGTCGCTTTTTCAACAAATAAAGTTACATAACTCCTCCAATGTCATATCAGATATTTAAACTAAAGGGAGGTTATTTTAATAGATAAAAACCAGTCACCAAAGTTGCATGAAAACTGCTCATAGCATTTTTGAGTTATTGTCCGAAAACTGGAAAATCCCCCTTTTTTAATGAATAAAACCCCATAACTCAGAAACGTAAAATCTAAAATTTATAAATACTGAAAGGGAGCTTACGTCAATAGATATAAACAATTCACCAAAATTTTATGAAAACTGCTCAAAGCATTTTTGAGTTATTGTCCGATAACTGGAAAATCCCCTTTTTTTAATAAATAAAAACCCCATCTAAAATTTATAAAAATCGTAAGGGAGCTTACGTCAATAGATATAAACAATTCACCAAAGTTTCATGCAAATTGGTTAAAGTGTTTTTGAGTTATTGTCCGACATGTTGACGAAAACAGTATACCAAAATATGTCCCGTAAACGGGCAAATAAAAATTTAACCCACAATTATTTTCTGTTGTTCATCCTGTGGTAAATTCAACCCTTTTTTTAATCCTTGGTTAAATGAGTCAGATTTAACCTTGCTCCTTACCTTTAGTTAAAATTTAAACTAAGGGACATTGTTATCTTAAAGTATGCATGATTCCTGTTCATTCATGATGCCAAAGAGATATGAACATGATGAAAGGGTATTAAAAGTTTGTTTAACTTATTCTTCTTTTCTGTGACCATCAGCAATCAAAACATGAGTATTACTTGTTAAGTTCACTACTTTTTTTGTGAAGAGGTTTACACACATATCTGTCATTTAATATTTACTGTTTTATTGACATTTTGAAGTAATGAAAAATAATGTTAATTAAAATCTAAGAAGCAACAGCAAATGCATATATTGGCAAATTAAACTAACATAGAAATAAAAGTAAATAATAAAAGTATAAAGTTCCAACGTCCCCTGTGTTGCACATCTATCCAAGGGCAATAACTAAAAAAAAACTTTTTTTTGTTTGTTCATTAAAACTTTTTTTCAAATTGCTTGCAATTTTATATATAATTAATATTTCCAAGGGCATAACTCTTTTAAAATTAATTGATTGGGACTGATTTTAAAAACTTGTCCCAGACATTGCTGATATTAACCTATGATATAATTTCATAAAAATCTGGCAAGAATTGTACACATGAGAGCGCTAACAATGAAATTTTCCATATAATTAATATTTCCAAGGGGCATAACTCTTTTTATAATAGTTGATAGGCACTGATTTTCGAAAATGTCCGAGATATTGCTGATATAAACCTATGATATAAGTTTTATAAAAATCTGGCAAGAATTGTACACATGAGAGTGCTAACAAGACCGGACGGATGGACAGACGCTCGGTATTTCTATGTCCCCCACAACGTGTCACACGTGGGACAATAAAGGATAAAATACACATAAACATTTAGGCATTAAAGAAAGAATAGTTATCATGAATTACATCAATTTATCTGCAAAACTTTTTAAATTCACAGATTTTAGTAAATGTAAGGCCAGATAGATAAATTTCCTTATTAAAAATATATAAAAATCTGTATTGTCATGGCAAATAAGAATAAAATATAGGGTTATTGGGTGGGAATCTTAAACTGTTTCAATGCATTTTACCATTTGTAACTTGAGATAGTGGGGAATGACTCCCAGCTCCCAACCATGTATGGTCTTGTCAAGGTGATTCAGAATGCATATGGTTTGGGGGAGGAAATCTAAACTGTTAAAGATAAAATTAACAATTTACAATATCATGACTCCTAAGGACAAAACTCATATTGCATTGTAAAGGTCTTGCAATGGCATTTAAAAATGTCTATGGTTTTGGGTGGATTCTGAACAGATTGTAAGATATTAAGCAATTGATATGGAAAGAGACATCTATTGTGGACTTCAAAAGGCAGATCAAAGCAGTAGAGGACATATGGTATAGAGGTGGGGATAAGAACCATTTTAAAGATATTTAAACTGACTGTAAGAGACCATCATGGGTAGTCAGGGTTGTTAAACAATCCAGCAGTAGTAGCTACAGATATTTATAAATTTATTATATGAGAAGAGGATGAAAACCCCCTCTCAGGTCTAAACCCTAAGGTGCACTAAAAAGGTCTTGCATTAGCAAACAAAAAACAAAACTAGAGGCTCTCAAGAGCCTGTGTCGCTCACCTGTATTTACTGATGCTTTGGAAATCATGTAAAATAAGGTTAAAATCATAATTAATAGTATTAGATATTAGATATTATAATGATATCTAAGATAATAACAAAAAACTGCCAAATTTTTGTAAAATTACTAACTCAGGGGCAGCAACCCAAAAACGGGTTGTCGGATTCGTCTGAAAATTTCAGGGCAGATAAATCTAAATCTGATGAACATTTTTTCCACCTGTCATATTTGCTCTAAATGCTTTAGTTTCAGAGATATAAACCAAAAACTGAATTTTACCCCTATGTTCTATTTTTAACCAAGTCGGACATGATGGTTGGAAGGCGGGGTCATCGGACAAATTTTTTCAACTATATACCCTAATAATGATTATAGCCAAGTATGGTTAAATTTATCTCTGTAGTTTCAGAGAAGAAGATTTTTGTAAAAGATTACAAAAATTTACAAAAAATTGTTAAAAATTGACTATTAAGGGCAATAACTCCTAAAGGGGTCAACTGACAATTTTGGTCATGACAACTTATTTGTAGATCTTACTTTGCTGAACATTATTGCTGTTTACAGTTTATCTCTATCTATAATAATATTCAAGATAATTACCAAAAACTGCAAAATTTCCTTAAAATTACCAATTCAGGGGCAGCAACCCACAAACAGGTTGTCAGATTTGTCTGAAAATTTCAGGGCAGATAGATCTTGACCTGATAATCAGTTTTACCCTATGTCAGATTTACTCTAAATGCTTTGGTTTCAGAGATATAAGCCAAAATCTACATTTTACCCCTATGTTCTATTTTTAGCCATGGCGGCAATCTTGGTTGGTTGGCGAGGTCTACGAAAACATTTTTTAAACTAGATACCCTAATGATGATTGTGGCCAAGTTTGGTTAAATTTGGCCCAGTGGTTTCAGAGGAGAAGATTTTTGTAAAAAGCTGACGACGGATGACGACGACGGACGCCAAGTGATGAGAAAAGCTCATTTGGCCCAACATGGTATTGGAGTTGACATGAAAATATTCCTGAATTCTATTTTTTACCTTGCACTCAAAGGTCATGGTTAGATGTCACATACATCCTCTTGCACCAATGTACCAAATATAACAACCCATTATGTAGAATGTTTTTTATGTTTTTGGACATCAAGATATCCTATTTTGACCTTCAATTCAAAGATCAGGTCAGATAAAAGTAATGTTTATATGCAATATTCCATTCCATGGTAATACACTATACATGAATTATCAGAAGTCAATTTAAAGGATAAACAAGTTTTGACCAAGACAAGACGGTTGAAAGAAACAGATGAAGAAGTAGAAACACTACTAAAACATATGTGTCTCAAAATGGGAGAGATAAATACCAAACATTGGATTCAAATGCAGTCAATTTCTGTAATTTCCCTAGATCTGAAAAGTGCATGAATTTTGTTTACTTAACATTTAAAATATCTAATAAACAGACATATAAAACTAAAGTAAGTAGCAGACATCATAGATAGACTAAAAACTGACAGAAATTCACTTAATCGATTGGGATAAAACAAGTGAAACTGCGAGCTAATGCTCACTGAAGTTGTTGAGTGATGAATCTGAAAACGCATCACACGGTATAGCTGACTTATATAAACACTGAAACCAAATTTCAGAAATCCTTGTAATGTAGTTCCTGAGAAAGATGCGACGTAAATATTCATGGGACGGACTGACGGACTGACGGATGGACCGACAGACAGACAGAGGTTAAACAGTATACCCCCACTTTTTTAAAGCAGGGGTATAAAAAGAACAAGAATCTACAAAACTTGTAAGTTTACTAACGTTTCATTTGCTTCAAAAGAGTCTTCATCTGAAAATTGCTATATTATATGTTATGGCATTACCTTATAAATGTAATACAAAAATTAATATATACCTGCTGATATTCTAAATGCTGGTCTTTGTACCACTGTTGATGCTTGTGGTTTAGTAACTATGGTAACAGTTGGAACTGACATATTTTTGGTAACGACACTTAGGTTTGGATTACCACTTGATTTGGCTGAAAAGAAAAACATCTTTTAATTCTTAAAATCATTTTCTTGAGAAAAATGAGGGAACATGCAGAAATACACTGGTTGCATAATAATTATGACTTAAATAAATGGAGAATGTGTTCATGGTACACAGATGATGCGCCCGCTTGCAGGAGTTGACTGAAGATTTTGGCCTTAGACTTATTTGTAGATCTTGTTTAGCTGATCAGTTTGTTGTTTCAAAATTCTATTTATCTATTATTGTTTTAAAGATTACAACCAAAAACCTAAAAAAAAGTGTTTAATTTAGTCATTTAAAAACAACATGTTACCAATAAAAACTTACCGATTCCATGTGGTGTAATACTAATTCTCTGTGAACCTGGAAACTGTTGACTCATTGGTAGACCAAACTGTATCCTGGCTTGTTGCTAAAATCAGAAATACGGTTAATTACTATACTAAACAAGTAGAACTGAGAGCTATTGCTCACTAATGATACCCCCACTTCAAGTTTAACGGGAAATTGAAGAGAAATTGTTCCAAAAACCTGTTATATGGTAAACCATGTTCACATGACGCCTCATAACAAATTTCAGGAGGTCTTTTTTGTAATTCCGTAGAAAAATGTGACGAAAATTTCATAAATGGCCTGTATGTGTTAGTATAATATATAAATATTCAGTAAACATGGTAAAGGAGTTGATGAGCGATGATACTGAGCTGGGTTTGTTTGTATAGAAATGAAAGACAATATGTACAGTATCCATTGTACTTTACAATAATAATATAAAGGCTTCTGTGTGCAGCCATGCTTGAGAGTGATGCATAGCATCATGAATATACAACTCTGAATAATAGTAAATGTATCTCCTTAATAGCAAAAGGTCAATGCAACTTCCATTAACAAGATTTTTCAGTTTTTATGTAAATGTGGCATTCATTTGGATGATCGCTCTTAAAAAGAATCATAAAAAATCATGTAATTCTGACCCATAATTTATCATGTTTATGTATGAGGGCTATCAAAAGGAATATCTGTGTTGAATAAAATGCACATATTTGTTTCATTCTTGATAATTCTTGTGAGAAACATTAAAGATACAAATTGAACCCAGACTAAAATTTGACATATATGAAAAAATAACTGTTAACACATTTCTTGTCACGTATACAACACAATCCTGACCTTTCCATTATATTTTCACAAAAAAAATATTTACAAAAAAAAGAAAGCTGTTAAACAGTTAAATGTCAATTTGATGATTAACCAGACAAATTCAAAAGGCTAAGCTCCCAAGTTTTTAGTGCATGTTGACTATGGTTGTAGCTAAAAAAAAGGAGACAGGATGACAAATAAAAATCATCAAGTCTTATCAAAACAGACAACACCAATGTAAAAAACATTGACAAAATAAAACAACAACAAAACACTAGCGACAATACAGATAAAATGCTCCGCTGGGGCGCAGCTTGATATGACCGCAGAGGTCGAACCCTGAACAGTTGGGGCAAGTATGGACACAACATTCAAGCTTGATACAGCTCTGAATTTGGATTGTGATTAAATATTTGACACAGCATAGGTTTCTGACACAGAATGAATGTGGTCTAGGAACTTAAAAAATTTTAATTTACCTATTCAAATCATATCATTATTATTTGCTTTTATATATAAATCAGAAATAACCAAGGCCATCAAAAAGAATATGTTTGTTTGCCCTAACCCTACCTACCCAGAAAATATCTGCCTACTCAAAATCTTTTATTGTCTTGATGTGAATTTTTTTTTTTTATCAGATAGGCATGAAGACTAAACACAATCTGACACTTCAATTTCTCTTTGCAGAAAAAAGAGAAGAAAATGCCTACCTACCTACCCACTGTCTCTACCTTTGGGTAGGGTTTGGGCAAACCAAAATATTTTTAGATGTGGCCCAATTTAAAATGGAAAATTTTAAAGAGAAAAAAAGCAAAAAAAAGAAAAAAAAATCCCCCCCCAAACTTTTTGAACCCCCTTATGATTCATCACCCCAAAACTCAAAAACAGCCTTCCCTTTGAGGTATGGTACCTTGCAGTACAATTTCAGAGAGATCCATACACTTGAACACAAGTTATTGTCTGGAAACTAGAAAAATGCTTATTTTTGGCCCCTTTTTCCTAAACGTTTTGGGCAATTACCCCCAAACTCAATTCCAGCTTTCCCTTTGTGATATGGAACCTTATAGTACAATTTCAGAAAGATTCATACACTTACACACAAGTTATTGTCATGAAACTAGAAAAATGCTTGTTTTTTGCCCCTTTTTTGGCCCCTAATTCCTAAAATTTTGAGGCAATTACCCCCAAAATCAATCCCAGCATTCCCTTTGTGATATGGAACCTTATAGTACAATTTCAGAAAGATCCATACACTTACACACAAGTTATTGTCATGAAACTAGAAAAATGCTTGTTTTTTGCCCCTTTTTTGGCCCCTAATTCCTAAAATTTTGAGGCAATTACCCCCAAAATCAATCCCAGCATTCCTTTTGTGATATGGAACCTTGTGGTACAATGTCAGAGAGATCCATACACTAACACACAAGTTATGTCTGGAAGTTACAAAAATGCTTTTTTTTGGCCCCTAATTCCTTAACTGTTTGTACCATAACCCCCAAAATCAATCCCAACCTTCCTTTTGTGGTATTGAACCTTAAGATAAAATTTCATAGAGATCCATTCACTTTAACTAAAGTTAGAGTGCGAAAACCAATATGTCTTCGGACGACGACGACGACGCCAACGTCATACCAATATACGACCACAAAATTTTTTTGCGGTCGTATAAAAACCAAAAAATAATTAACACAAATCCAACTTAAAACAGGGAGTAGAGTGGCACACGTCTTGTTTCTCATTTCAAATAAAAATAAGGTGATAAGTTACATTTGGTAAAGGTACTATCCAGGAAAACAGGACATGAAGGTGGTTTTAACAAGAGGAATAGAAATGGAAAGTTCACAATGACAAAATCATGACATTGTGCAATGCTAAAATATAAGTATCTACAGGATGTAGTACCATAAGTGTTCATAAAGGTCAAGCAATTCATATTCAGTTATGTTTAAAATCATTAAAAACAAAATCAATGCTAGTACCAATAAAGACAATATACAATATGTTCCAAGATCTTACTAGTGTTAAATTGATATGATTTCTTGATTAATTGTAGCTAGCTGAATGCTGCAGTGACAATTCTGTTATACATTTTCTTGATTAATTGTAGCTAGCTGAATGCTGCAGTGGCAATTCTGTTATACATTTTCTTGATTAATTGTAGCTTGCTGAATGTTGCAGTGGCAATTCTTTTATACATTTTCTTGATTAAAAGTAGCTTGCTGAATGCTGCAGTGGCAATTCTTTTATACATTTTCTTGATTAAAAGTAGCTTGCTGAATGCTGCAGTGGCAAATCTTTTATACATTTTCTTGATTAAAAGTAGCTTGCTGAATGCTGCAGTGGCAAATCTTTTATAAATTTTCTTGATTAAAAGTAGCTTGCTGAATGCTGCAGTAGCAAATCTTTTATACATTTTCAGGACGAGAATACAGAAATTATTGTGTTTGTTGACCAATGGACACAATGTGACTTATTTGACTTATTTGTAGATCTTATTTTTTCTGAATATTTTTGCTAATCATGGTTGCTCTCATTATATTATGGTCTACATAAAATTCATAAAATGTGTATAAATGGATATTCAGGGGGAATAAGTCCTATAAGGAGTCAGTTACCAGTTTCTGTCATGTTGACTTATTTGTGAATCTTACATGTATAATGCTTTAAATCATTGATATTTACAATTTCTCTCTATCTAATATCATGATTATGGTTTCTGTAAAAATGGGCAAATATCATCTTTAAGGGCAATAACTCCTAAAAGGGGTCAATTTACAGTTTCTACTATGTTGACTTATTCATAGATTATTTTGCTGATTACAGTTTTTCTCTTAATTTGTTTCTCGCTATAGTATATCTTATTTTGATGGACAATTTAGAATTTTGCAATTTAATTTCTGCAAAAAATGAGAAACAATGTCTTTCAAGGGAAATCCCTACTAAAAGGGGTAATTGACATATTCCATGTTGACTTATTTGTAGATCTTATTTGGCTGAAATTTTATTTGCGGATGGGGACGGACTCTAGGATAGCTATCTCTTGCTTTTGGGACATAATTTTTCAGGTTTGACAAAAAGGACAATTATTGCGTCTGATATAAGGTAAATATCATCATTATAACGGGAATTTACTAATAAGTTCTTTTATCTAAGCCAGGAAACTAGTTAAAGTACAGAAAGATTAGTTGTAGAAAACTTACTGGTGGACGATTAAAAGATATTTGACAGGCTTTAGTTTAGGTAACCAATACATAAAAGTGACCTTTTATAAAGGACCCATAAAAGGACGCCTCCGGGTGCGGGAGTTTCTCGCTGCATTCAAGACCCATTGGTGGCCTTCGGCTGTTGTCTGCTCTATGGTCGGGTTGTTGTCTCTTTGACACATTCCCCATTTCCATTCTCAATTTTATTTAAATGTTCAGAAGAGACCTTAAATTGAGACGTGGTATTGATATAATTGTGTACTATTTGACTCTTTGGAGCACTTGGCCTTGAATGTAGAAGAATTAATCATTTCATTCTCAAGAACATCCATGTAGTATTTACGTCATACATTACCCCATTGCTGGCTTCTTCGTCCCCTAGTATGAACATAAAATGCTAAGGGAGTATTAGAAGTTATTTTTCTCCCATTTATATCAATTTTAACAATAGGATGAAAGAGATCTTAAATGAACTGGGGACGCTCTTTCCTATAGATTTATTTTCAATAAAGGATGATATTTTAGTCCTTTTTGAGAAAGTTCATAACCTCTTTATCTTTGACGACGTTGCGGTTCCCTGTAATGATTTTGCAGTAAGGATCAAAAGTAGGAACCTCAGAACCTGATGTCTTGTTAAAAAAGAGTTAAAGTAGTTTTACAGAAATAATTATAAAGTTTAGCAGAACAAGAATTCTTTCTTTTTTTTTAATTAGACTTGGTTTGTGCCACCTTAAAACTTTTTTTTTATTAGACTTGGCTTGTGCCACATTAAAACTTTTTTTTTTATTAGACTTGGCTTGTGTCACCTTAAAACTTTTTTTTTTATTAGACTTGGCTTGTGTCACTTTTTTTTTATTAGACTTGGCTTGTGTCACCTTAAAACTTTATTTTTTATTAGACTTGGCTTGTGTCACCTTAAAACTTTTTTTTTTATATTAGACTTGGCTTGTGCCACCTTAAAACTTTTTTTTTATTAGACTTGGCTTGTGCCACCTTAAAACTTTTTTTTTTATTAGACTTGGCTTGTGCCACCTTAAAACTTTTTTTGTATTAGACTTGGCTTGTGCCACCTTAAAACTTTTTTTTATTAGACTTGGCTTGTGCCACCTTAAAACTTTTTTTTTTATTAGACTTGGCTTGTGCCACCTTAAAACTTTTTTTTTTATTAGACTTGGCTAGTGCCACCTTAAAACTTTTTTTTTATTAGACTTGGCTTGTGCCACCTTAAAACTTTTTTTTTTTATTAGACTTGGCTTGTGCCACCTTAAAACTTTTTTTTGAAGAAAATTATCTAGTTGACATTTAAGTGTTAAACAACCCTTTTTTTTAAATTAGGTTTATTAGATTTAGTGAAAATATTTTGAAAAGGTCAGGGTCTTATAAGAAATATCTTAAAACTTATGTACTGATATTAAATTTTATTTTTTTTTCTTTCTCACAAATAAGCTTTTGCTGATGAATTCACAAGTATTCAATTTTAAATTTGTGGTACAGTCAAACCTGGGTAAACCGGACCCTGAATAAACTGGTTTCCTGTGTATTTTGAATTCCAATCTTACTATGCAGCCCCAATACAATTAATTGCAGTAAAAGTAACTTTTCTAAATTCATTTAACAGTGAATAATGATACAGTATTGATCGATGTGCACTCAAAACAAAGACTACTTAAGTCAAAACATTCTCAAGTTTATTGTCCATATAAATTGTCTTACATTTATCACTTCTCTTAAAGTGTCAGACAGTTTTTTTTTCCAATCGCAAACTGTAATGCAAAATCTTTCTGCGTTTTCTTAGGGATTTCCTAAGATTCCTGAATAAAATACCTTTTCATCGACAGTGTATTTAGATTGTTATCATAATCCTTTTTTCTCTTTTTGGCATACATAAATTCTACATTTCTTGTTTGAGCTAACTTATTTTTTAGATGACAACATAATTGTGTGTGTAAAAACAGTTGACTACAATAAACTCATGTTTGTCTTTACTAGTTTTATACTCTAAAGGATCATTCTTGTGTAAGTAACTTTGTTTTGAGTGCACATCGATCAATACTGGATCAATAGTCACTGTTAAATTATATCTGACAGGTTACTTTTAATGCAATTAATTGTGTTGGGGCTGCATAATAAGATTGGAATTCGGAATACACAGGATCTGGTTTTAAGATGGTATTATTGCGAAGGAATTGAAGGGGAAATAATGGGACTTCAGCCAGAATGGATGTAGGAAGCCAGTTTATTCAGGGTCTGATTTACCCAGGTTTGACTATACCACAAATTCAAAGTTGAATACATCGGAATTCATTAGCAACAGATAATTTGTTAAAAAAAAGTTCAATATATAATACAGTTTATAATTTTAAACACATCTCTTACAACCCTGACCTTTTCAAATATTTTTTACTAAATCTAATAAATTTAATCAAATAAAATGTTGTTTAACACTTAAATGTCAACTTGATAATTTCTTCATAAAAAATTAAAGGTTGCAAAAACCATACATTATGGCTAGTAGCAAATGAAATAAAATGCTCCTCTGGGCGCAGCTTGATACGACCGCAGAGGTCGAACCCTGAAGAGTTGGGTCAAGTATGGACACAACATTCAAGCTTGATACAGCTCTGAATTTGGATTGTGATTAAATATTTGACACAGCATAGGTTTCTGACACAGAATGAATGTGGTCTAAGAACTTAAATTTTTTTAATTTACTTATTATGGTCCAATATCCAAAATCTAAATACATGGTTAGATTCAGCATATCAAAGAACCCCAAGAATTCAATTTTTGTTAAAATCAAACTAAGTTTAATTTTGGACCCTTTGGACCTTAATGTAGACCAATTTGAAAATGGGACCAAAAATTAAGAATCTAAATACACGGTTAGATTCAGCATATCAAAGAACCCCAATGTTTCAATTTTTGATGAAATCAAACCATATCATTATTATTTGCTGTTATATATAAATAAAAAATAACCAACTTAAAATGGAAAATTTTAAAGAAAAAAAAAGAAGGAAAAAAAGAACCCCCCCCCCCACAATTTTTTGAACCCCCTTATGATTCATCACCCCCAAACTCAATCCCAGCCTTCCCTTTGTGGTATGGTAGCTTGCAGAGATCCATACACTTGAACATGTTGAACACAAGTTATTGTCTGGAAACTGTAAAAATGCTTGTTTTTCGGCCCCTTTTTGGCCCCAAATTCCTAAACATTAAGGGCAATTACCCCCAAACTCAAACACAGCTTTCCCTTTGTGATATGGAACCTTGTAGTACAATTTCATAAAGATCCATACACTTACACACAAGTTATTGTCCTGAAACTAGAAAAATTTGTAAGGGTTCCGAGGAACCTAGTGTCTCGCCTACTTTTGCTGTTAATCGCAGGCTCAACAAAAATGAGGAAAAAAATTAATAAAAATATTCCTCTCTATATTATCTGTGATTGTAAGTAGCTTCTGTCCAAGTTTGGTAAAAATCCAGGATAGTTTATGAATCTAATAAATGTTTTAAAAACTTAAACTGCAGACTGTATGTAATGTTAACTGGAAGAAAAACTAAGTCCATTTATAAGTAAAATACGAAAAAAATGGAACAACATTTTAACAAAATTTCCTTCTAGATACTAGCTTTTAATCATAAACAAGCTTCTGTCCAAGTTTGGTACAAATCCAGGATAGTTTAAGAAAGTTGTTAAAATTTTAAAAACTTTAACCACAGAGTGAATGTAATGTTAACTGGCAGAAAAACTAAGTCCATTTATAAGTAAAATACTGAAAAAATGGAATTTTTTTTTACAAAATTTACTTCTGGATACTATCTTATGATCATAAACAAGCTTCTTTCCAAGTTTGGTAGAAATCCAGGACAGTTTAAGAAAGTTATTAAAATTTCAAAAACTTTAACCACAGAGTGAATGTAATGTTTCCTGGCAGAAAAACTAAGTCCATTTATAAGTAAAATACGGATAAAATGGAATTTTTTTTTTACAAAATTTACTTTTGAATATTATCTTTAGATCATAAACAAGCTTCTGTCCAAGTTTGGTAGAAATCCAGGATAGTTTAAGAAAGTTATTAAAATTTTAAAAACTTTAACCACAGAGTGAATATTTGTGGACGCTGCCAACGACGACAACGACGACGACAGAATAGAGGATCGCTATGTCTCCCTTTTTCGACAAAAGTCGAAGGCTCGACAATAATGCTTGTTTTTTTCCCCTTTTTGGCCCCTAATTCCTAAAATTTTGAGGCAATTACCCCCAAAATCAACCACAGCCTTCCCTTTGTGGTATGGTACCTTGCAGTACAATTTCAGAGAGATCCATACACTTGAACACAAGTTATTGTCTGAAAACTGTAAAAATGCTTGTTTTTTGGCCCCAAATTCCTAAACGTTTAGGGCAATTACCCAAAACTCAAACCCAGCTTTCCCTTTGTGATATGGAACCTTGTAGTACAATTTCAAAAAGATCCATACACTTACACACAAGTTATTGTCCTGAAACTAGAAAAATACTTGTTTTTTGCCCCTAATTCCTAAAATTTTGAGTCAATTACCCAAAAAAATCAATCCCAGCCTTCCCTTTGTGGTATGGTACCTTGCAGTACAATTTCAGAGAGATCCATCCACTTGAACACAAGTTATTGTCTTGAAACTAGAAAAATGTTTATTTTTGGCCCCTTATTCCTAAACGTTTTGGGCAATTACCCCCAAACTCAATTCCAGCTTTCCCTTTGTGATATGGAACCTTGTAGTACAATTTCAGAAAGATCCATACACTTACACACAAGTTATTGTCATGAAACTAGAAAAATGATTGTTTTTTCCCCCTTTTTTGGCCCCTAATTCCTAAAATTTTGAGGCAATTACCCCCCAAAGCAATCCCAGCATTCCCTTTGTGATATGGAACCTTATGGTACAATGTCAGAGAGATCCATACACTAACACACAAGTTATTGTCTGGAAGTTACAAAAATGCTTTTTTTGCCCCTAATTCCTTAACTGTTATTACCATAACCCCCAAAATCAATCCCAACCTTCCTTTTGTGGTATTGAACCTTAGGGTAAAATTTCATAGAGATCGATTCACCTAAACTTAAGTTATTGTGAGAAAACCAATGTGTCTTTGGACGACGATGGCGAAGCCAACGTCATACCAATATACGACTGCGTTGTATAAAAATTAAATAACAAATTTTTATTTAAATCAGTGTTCATTTTTCTTTGAGAAAAAATACATTTCCTGTATTCAAATATATATGTACAAATATAATTTATACTGTTAAATATTTCAATATACATTTTTGTAATGGAGAATAAACAAATAAATTTAATTGCACAAAATGCTCATGTTATATAATTTTGTTTAGTGTTTCAAGCAAATTCCTGATAATTGTAATTTAAAGTCATAAGAAACTTCAAATTAAAAAAAAAGTTGAATATGTTTTATATACTTGAATGGCTATGTTTTACTCTAAAAGAAATGAACCTGAACTTTTTTTTAAAAAGATAATCCTTTACATTATCAAAATCTTCATAAATGTACCGATATTGACTTCCCAGACACTAATTTGCCTTTATTTTCCTGATGCAATGACCTTAACTAGGAGACCTCTCATTATAACTTCTGCCACCACACATCACAAGTGCGAGGGCAAAACCGGGATGAAAGAATGTAAAAAAAAGTGCTCTTGAAGGTAAATAGTAATAAAAGATTCTTAAAGAACAAATTTAATACAGCTAAAGATTTTACAACTGTTAAGGAATAGTTTAATTAACAAATGGGAACTTATGGAAAATATAAAAACAAATGTCATGGCTCTTTCAATTCACTTATCTGTCATGTTTTCCACATGCTCTCTTTTTATTGTTTATCAATGTCACGATACGGTAAACTTGGGCAACAAACTCGAAAGTTAATTAGCTTGTGATCAACAACCACAGAATGAAATATTATTTGTCGATAATATGTTATACATGTAGATGTGTAATAAATATAAAAAAAAATGTCCATGGAAGACTTAGTATAGTATATATGCATGCATTGGTTTATTAATTTCGATAACATTAAAATCTCAAGAAACTTGTTTCATATGACTTTAAGTTACGGATGTTCGCTACTCTTGTTTATGACTTTTTGTCAGATAATCAGAATCCAATAGTTTTATCCATGTACTGCCTAGTATAAAAAGTTTGCCTGCTAACTCCTACTTTTCTTTTCATAATTTTATAACATATGAGTTTAAAAAGCCATTTTTAAAAATCTTATAATATCCTTGTTATTTTTTCATAACTTTTGAAAGAAAAAATGTGCCAATGTTAAATGTATAAAAAATTTAGAGAGAATTATCACCTGCCAAATTTTCAATTGATTATATCTCAAAAACAAAGGACACTGACCTTTCATTTTTTCTGCTTTTTAAGTTCTATTATTTACATACTATCCATTTATAACTGTCTTTTAAAAAGCTTGTTATTTTGAAACAGACGAGCAATCATACAAAAGTGACTAAAGCCCTCAAAATCCTAGCTTAAACCCTACCTTTTTGACAAAATCCTAGCTTAAACCCTGCCTTTTTGACAAAATCCTAGCTAAAACCCTGCCTTTTTGACAAAATCCTAGCTAAAACCCTGCCTTTTTGACAGTTAAGTGGTTCATTTGTTTGCTGTTAACCTGCCTTTTTGACAGTTTAGTGGTTCGTTTGTTTGTTGTTAACCTACCTTTTTGACAATTTAGTGGTTCGTTTGTTTGTTGTTAACCTACCTTTTTGACAATTTAGTGGTTCGTTTGTTTGTTGTTAACCTGCCTTTTTGACAATTTAGTGGTTCGTTTGTTTGTTGTTAACCTGCCTTTTTGACAGTTTAGTGGTTCGTTTGTTTGTTGTTAACCTACCTTTTTGACAATTTAGTGGTTTGTTTGTTTGTTTGTTAACCTACCTTTTTGACAGTTCTATGACTGGCCATCTTGTAGTTGGGTGCAGATAAACAGTATCTATCTGGAGGAAGCCTCAGTCCACTGTAAGGTTTAATCAAAGGCAAAGCTTGGCTGTTCTTATGTTTAGCTATATCCATCAAAAGCTGGAAATATTTACAAGAAATAATAATGTACAACCTGTTATTTAGATATTTATCATATTTGAATTTGCCATTTCTTTCCTTCAGTCTTCAAACTTATATATTTAGAAAAAATCAAGACAATAAACTAATATTATTCAAATGTGGCTTACCACATGATTTTGTTAATAGACTCTTTTGAATTATTTCATTGTGTTAATCCAGGACTTTTTACAGCTTACTCTATGTGTATGGTGGGAGTTTTTCATTTTGTTCATCCAGGACCTTTTATAACTTACTCCATGTGTTTGGTAGGAGTTTTCCATTTTGTTCATCCAGGACCTTTTATAACTTACTCAATGTGTATGGTAGGAGTTTTCCATTTTGTTCATCCAGGACCTTTTATAACTTACTCAATGTGTATGGTAGGAGTTTTCCATTTTGTTCATCCAGGACCTTTTATAACTTACTCAATGTGTATGGTAGGAGTTTTCCATTTTGTTCATCCAGGACCTTTTATAACTTACTCAATGTGTATGGTAGGAGTTTTCCATTTTGTTCATCCAGGACCTTTTATAACTTACTCCATGTGTTTGGTAGGAGTTTTCCATTTTGTTAATCCTGGACCTTTTATAACTTACTCAATGTGTATGGTAGGAGTATTCCATTTTATTCATCCAGGACCTTTTATAGCTTACTCCACAAGAATGGTAGGGGTTTTTCTCATTGTTCCTCCTGGACTTTTTAAAGCTTACCCCATGTGTATGGTAGGGGTTTTTCTAATTGTTAATCAAGGACCTTTTATAGCTTACCCTATGTGTATGGTAGGGGTTTTCCATTTTGTTTATAATCCAAGACCTTACATAGCTTACTTCGTGTGTATGATAGGGTTTTTTCTCATTGTTCATCCAGGACCTTTTATAGCTTACTGTGTGTGTATGGTAGGAGTTTTCCATTCTCTTAATCTAGAATCTTTTATAGGTTATCATATGTGTATGGTAGGGGTTTTGTCATTGTTCATCCAGTGACACTTTTCTGCCTAAAAATCTTATACTGAAATGTGTATGACTTAAAAGTATTTATACTCTTAAAGATTTTTTGTGAAAAGAGCAGCAGGATCTTTTATAGCTTTCTCTGTGTGTATGATAGGGTTTTTACTCATTGCTCAACCCGGACCTTTTAACAATGTTTAATAGCTTACTCCGTGTGTATGGTAGGGTTTTTTCAAATTGTTTCTCCCGTACCTTTTAATAGCGTGCTCCATGTGTATGGAAGGGTTTTTTCTCATTGTTTAAGGCCAGATGGTGCTTTTTTTTTTTACACCATGTCCTTTATTCTTATGGAAATACAAATGAATAACTAAACTGTCTATGAATTAAGGCATAACTAAAGTAAATCTGTTCTCGACAAGGTTAATTATGGCCACCTTCATACTGTATACCATGCATGTATACTCTAAGCATGTGTGAACTTTAACAGCCATTTTACATTTTAAATTAACATTTCAAAGAGCCAATGCAAACAACCAGCATTCTTTATTAAATCAATGTGACACTGATAAAATTCTTATCTATTTTACAAAGGTGATTGTGATTTAGTTCCCACTCCTAGAGTGACATACACATATTTAAGTAAAATCAAGAAATGTCATTTGAGAACACCAAAAATTAATTAATACAAAAACCCACAGAAGACTAGCAATCTGCTATGTGCTCAACAGTGGAAATCTAAACAAGTTGTTTCATATCAAAGAGACATGTTTATGAATCAAACATCTGTCAGGGTACAGCTGTTAATTATATTGTATTCTACAAAATGTGTTAAATGGTTGTGTTAGATCAAAAATGCTTATGTCATAGAAAATAATGAATGACATTCCTACACTAAAGTGACCAGGCTTATGATGAATTTAATCATAGTTCACAATTTCAGAGGCTGAACAATTTATTTATGAATATTTTTTTTTTACATACAATTCTCTGTTACAGTGAAAAAAATTGCAAGCAGTTGCAGAGTTGTTGATCAATGAGATAAACCCAACTACACGAAGACCAAATACACACCAAATTGTAAACATACAATCTTTGAACAAGTGTCTATATCAAGTGTCAAGGTCTAATGAGTCAGTATGGTTATGTGAGCGATGAAGGGTAAAGATTGTTTTCATTTAGCAATTTTGTGAATTTTTAAATTAAACATTGTATTTTGCTAGGCAAATTAAAAATTTGAGTTGGAGTTATCTTCCTTGCTCATATTATAATATTGTAACTTAAATATCAAAGTATAACATATCATCAATAAATTGCATGACATTTGACTGGATAGGATCTAAATAATGGTCATTTCACTGCACTATTTTGTTTGGGCTATCAAAGGTAGTGATAAACCTTGGAAGATATAGAAATCAAGTCAGTACTTAGGGTTTTGATTGCATTTCATGCCATCTTTACCAAAAAACAGAGATTATCAAAGATCTGCCAACATAACCAAACTCCCTACTGTAAAAAAAAAAACCTTAAATTACAACTATATTTACATCTCTTGGTGGAGGTGATGTGAAGGAATGGTCCATTCTACATTGTATGGCCAGCTTGACATCATCAGCATCGACAGTTTTCTTGCTAGCATGACTGGAGTATACTCTGGCATCTTCTAATATATCAGATACATATCCTGTTAATTATACAGTCAGATATACATGTATGTTTTGTACATTGTGTCATAGATAACAGGTTTTATTGTGTTTTAGGCTTTTTTTTTGTAATTGAAGTCTACTACATGTATATAATTATAATACCGTGAATAAATAACATCAACAATACCAAATTTACTGTACCAAATGAGCGTTTCAACAAGCAATGTCTCTTAAGTGATGCTGGAAGCCAAAATATTTGAAAATCCAAAATCAATTACAAATGTTGAAGAAAAAACAAACAGGTCTAAATGTAAAACCAAATATAAACAAGGAAACAAATCTATGCACGAGGGAGATACATTCCTCAATTCACAATGATACATTCCTCAATTCACAATGATACATTCCTCAATTCACAATGATACATTTCTCAATTCACAATGATACATTCCTCAATTCACAATGATACATTCCTCAATTCACAATGATACATTTCTCAATTCACAATGATACATTTCTCAATTCACAATGATACATTCCTCAATTCACAATGATACATTCCTCAATTCTGACACAATGATACATTCCTCAATTCACAATGATACATTTCTCAATTCACAATGATACATTCCTCAATTCACAATGATACATTTCTCATTTCACAATGATTTCAAAAATTTGAAAACAGTTAACCTAAATAAAACAATATATAAGTATTTTCGTTCCAATATTGAAGTACCAAATAGTACCAAACTTCCTGCACCAGAAGCGTATTTTGACAATCAGCGTCTCTTCAGTGATGCTAGAGGCAAAATATTTTGAATAAAAATTCAGCAATTTTTCTATTTGTAAACACGCATAACTCTAGAATGGTTGTGTATAAGTTTTATAACATTTGGTTGAGACAAACTAAAGTTTTATAACATTTGGTTGAGACAAACTAAAGTTAGAGAATGGAAACAAAAAATTCAGCAATTTTTATGTTTATAAAGGGACATAACTCAAGAATGGTAAAAGTGTCGCCACCAAATTTCGTACTTAATTTGTATTATGTAGTAACAAGCATTGTGTATAAGCTTCATAACATTTGGTTGAGGCAAACTAAAGTTAGAAAACGGAAACAAAAAATTTGTTCTTGATCTTAGTTTTGTGGTAATGAATATTGTGTATAGGTTTCATAATGTTTGGTTGGGGCAAACTTAAGTTACAGAATGGAAGCTAAAAATTTTGCAATCTTTCAATTTATAAAGGGGCGTAACTCAATAATGGTTAAAGTGACACTACCCAAATTCAACTTGATCTGCGTTTTATCAGTGGAAGTCAAAATTAAACATTGCATTGAATAAAGCATTGATTGTAGTTGATTCAACTATAATCATGGACAAAGGAAGATAACTCTAATTTTAAAAATACTTGATATTTAGAAGAAAATAAAAATTTTGCAATTTTTCCATTTATAGAGGCATAACTCTAGAACCATTAAAGTGACGCCACCAAAATTCAAACTTGATCTGTGTTTTGAGGTAATAAGCATTGTGTATAAGTTTCATAACATTTGGTTGAGGCAAACTTAAGTTAGAGAATGGAAACTAAAATTTTTGCAATTTTTCCATTTATAAAGGGGCATAACTCTAGAACGGTTAAAGTGACGCCACCAATATTCAAACTTGATCTGTGTTTTGTGGTAATGAGCATTGTGTATAAGTTTCATAACATTTGGTTGAGGCAAACTCAAGTTAGAGAACGGAAACCAATTTTGGGACGTATGTACGTACGTACAGACGGACAAGGGTAAAACTTAATGCCCCCACCGCTATGGCGGGGGCATAAAAATCCAAAAGCTACTTTAAACTTTGACGAGATTATAATACCAAACAGGACCAAAGGTTAAGTCAAACTCTGATAAGGAAGCAGATCTATGTCCGAGGGGACAAGGAAGCAGATCTATGTCCTAGGGGACAAGGAAGCAGATCTATGTCCGAGGAGACAAGGAAGCATATCTATGTCCGAGGGGACAAGGAAGCAGATCTATGTCCGAGGGGACAAGGAAGCAGATCTATGTCCGAGGGGACAAGGAAGCAGACCTATGTCCCAGGGGACAAGGAAGCAGATCTATGTCCGACGGGACAAGGAAGCAGATCTATGTCCGAGGCGACAAGGAAGCAGATCTCTACCAGAGGGGACAAGGAAGCAGATCAATGCCTGAGGCGACAAGGAAGCAGATCTATGCCTGAGGGAGATATTTTTTATAATTTAAAATGAATTCCAAAACAGTAAATTTCAATAAAACATTATCCATTTTTTTCCAGCCATGTACATTTTTTGATCATCCTATCATGTACATTGTATGCAAGCTTTCTGTCAAACAGCTGTCTATAAGTGCTGATGTATTTCGAAAGGATGGACTGTGGAACAGACAGGGACCATTACAATATCCCTTGCAGCCCTACTCACACTTGCAGAAACTTTTTAACTGTAAATGCAAAACCAAAATTCTATTGAATGTGATCTGTATTTAATGTTTCATAATATTGCGTTCAAATCTAACAGATTTTCTCAAATGTTAAATTCATATCACCTTATCAAAATTTGAAGGTAAGTGTTATAACTCATTAACAGTAAACAGTCAGATGTACTACTAGAACAAATGATTATCACTTATTTTAGTGATTGCTCAATTTTATGATTTAATTTTTTTTTTTTATAATGAATTTCTTTTTATTTGCACATGAACATAATAGTAATTTATACACATTCTATGCATAATATAATATATGGCAAAAGATGTACAACGGTTTAATAGACAACCATCAATTAATTAATTTAAGAAAGTAATATTAAGTAAACACAGCTGAAATAGTTTGGTACATTGCAGAATATGATTGCAAGACAAAGGTTGCTCAGATAGATACATGTAGTCCATGTTTTTAGTTTATACAACATATGGTGTCTGTTGTTTATCTTTGTTGTTATGACAATAAAAGAGTCCAGGGGTTCCAGCAGTTCTCCCCCCTACTGAGTCATTTATTTTTATAAAATATATATTTTTCTATTAATAAGTTTTCTTTTAAATATTTTTTTAGCGCTATCATATTGGTTTGTTGCAATGATAATTGTCTTCTTTAAATATAGGTAGATTTCCACTGCAGTATGAGCGTAACTTTAGGATACTTAAATTTTGGTTCAAAATTTTAGTAAGTGACAATTGTATATTAAGGTCTTGTTATAAAGAGCTTGTGTTAAATTGTTCAAAATGTATGAATTGGGCAACATATGTAAAAAGATTGATATATAGTCTTGGTATGAATAAATTGTGGGATAATCAGTGGTTGTTAAATGTAGACAGCTCATATTTACCTTTGATAAGACAGCGTTTGTTTGATCAAGCTAACCAAGAGATACATTTTTTATTAGATTCTTCTGCAAAGTGTAGATTATATAAGTATGTGGTAACAAATGTAGTTTTGCAATTTTATTTACAGAAATGCATTCCTGTACTTTTTCGTAAATGTATAACAAGGATTCGTTTGTCTTCACATAACCTTTGTATTTGAAACTGGACGTTATGTTGGTACTAATAGAAATGAAAGAAATTGTATTTTTTGTGATTTAGGAGTAATATAGGATGAATTTCATTTCATCCTTCAATGTAGTAGATATACTGATTTGCGAAAAAATATATAAAAATATATTACTGGTCTAGGCCATCAACTTGTAAGTTAATAGTCCAGTGAAAACACAAAACAGCTTTGTAACTTAGGAAAGTATATACATTTCTCTTTTAAATTACGAAACAGTTTATTGTAATAAAAGATATTTTGTATTGATGAAACTTCTGACGTCAGCTATTGTTAATTATGCATATTGTTAATATTGTTTGTAATATGCCATATCTATACACTGTACATGTATTTGATTATTCTGATGAGCCGTAAGGCTTAAAGATAATAAAGAATTTAGAAATATAGAATTTTAGTAATTAAGCTATTGAAGTGATTTTAATGGGTGTTTAGTATTTTCAAATACAATTATATATATAGTTTAATGAATTTTCCACTAATGGACAAAATTTATTATTCCAGTTTATGCTTAATTCAAAACCAGGTTTTCCCAGTAATTCCCACTAAGCTGAGCAATACTCATAAACTTGATGGACAGACAGACATGAGCATCACTATACATGCCCTCTACAAGACAATTAAATGACATGGATAGGAAACTGTTGATCCTTCATGACAAACTTTAATCCATTTATCATTCTTACTTTAATGTCAAATTCAAAGTTTGCTGTCTGTTTTTGGCATTTTTCTGGAGAACAAAATACTAAAAAAAACTTGAAAAAACTCAGGAACAGGCATTTCGTTCTGGTTATAACGATTTCAAAACCTTTTAACATATATAGCCCTATATATGTAAAATATGTATTTTGGGTGTTAACAAGATGTATGATTATGAATCAGTCTTTAAAACAAGACACATAACATTAATCATTCATTTAGTTGAACTTTATTGTCGACTTAGTTTCAATACATTTTCATTGATACAATGTATGTAATAAGGGAGATAACTTGTGTATTCTTTAATAGTTTAGCATGGGAGAAAATCTGAATAGCCTCAACCATGGTATCAGCAATAATGATTTTGTTGTTTATTGAATTGTTAATAGGTTTTAATTTTGTTTGTTATTTAATTATATGTACATGCTGTATTTGAACAAAAATCATTGTTAATCCTTTTTAATTTATTTCAATGTACTAACTAATTTTAGATATTTCATATGCTCAGAATGATTTGTACCAAAGAGCCTTAAAAGTGAACTTCAAACTATGAAATGATTTTTAGAGCATAATCCTTCTGTTAAAAATGTAATTAATGTCTTTTCTAGGCTTTTAGTCAATACGGCTTATATATGCTTATGTCTTGTAATGTTAAAACAATAAAATCTAGTTTACAGGTTTTTTATTTGTTGCCTTTGGAATTGTAAGGATTACACAATAACCCAAGCTGCAAACACAATCCGTTCACTTTTGATCTTCATTGAGAAATTATCAAAACCCATTATTAACTTACATAAAATATTGATTAATGCATGTAACTACAATCAATAATGATTTAATTAAATGATGTTTATTTAAACACCATCAAATTTTGTATTGCATATTTTATTTAAGGATTTTAATATTACTATCATTACTATCAAAATTCTGAGTCTCACTAATTAGCGAGCGACAAGAAGCGTCAAGAAGACTAATTTAGCATCAAGAAATGTTAATATTAATTATTATAATAAATATAGAAACATGCATTAAAGGGTGTTTTTTTTAATATATGTGTATTTTCATTATAGTACCTATGTAAGAATCGGAAGGGTTGACATATCAAAGATTCAAACCAAATAATAAGATCTTTATTTATTTCAGACTCAAGAGGACCATAAATATATATATAATCACAGTCGCTTGAATTTTAGTGATAAAAGTATTAAAAAAAAAATTGTGATATAATATATATACATGTATGCATGACACAAATTATTCTGTGTATTCTTATTTTAAAATAATTTATATATATATTTTTTTAACTACAAATTCATAACGAAACTGTAGCGCAGCGCTACTAAATAATACAAAATTTGAAACTTTATTAAACAACAAATAATCAGCTGTAAGTAATTGACTTTTTCTATAAAAATTTATTCAATTATCATGATTATTGTTTTGACAAAATGTTTGATAGAATATAAACTTTCTTGTCACTAAACTTGTCTTCTTGTAGCTAACTTTTTCTTCTTGTCGCTAATTTTTTTCTTCTTGTCGCTAATTTTTTTCTTCTTATTGCTAAATTATTGGTGGGACCGCAATTTCTCTGGGATATTTTTGACCCCGTCAGTGTCATGATTGTGATCAGATGCATATTTTACGCTTGTGTGTTTGCTTATCATAAATGTGTATCACGATTATATGCAGCTGTAGAACTTCAGCTTTTGTGGTCATTTGGGATATTTTTTTATATAATTTGCGAAGATGAGGAAGCATCTGACAGTAAAAATTGAAAATGCAGAGCAACAACCAAGTCCAAATTATGTGTCATAATTTAAATTATTGACAAACAGCAAACACAATAAAGATAGGTCAATAATTACTGTAAACAAATTCAAGCATTTGATTAATGACTCGTGGCTCATGTTCAGTAACACCAAGATCTTTCAAAATAGCAGTCATAATTTGAGCATCTCTCGGCAAGCTTTTCGCCGGAGCGGCCATTTTTATTTTTAAAGTCTACTATAAAAGAAGAACCGGTTGGGTTACACTAATGTCCTGACAATGTCCTGACAATGTCCTGACAAAGTCCTGACGGATATGAAAATGCTAATTACGTTTTCATTATATAAAGGATTTACTTTAAATTTGGAACCAAGCAAGATGACAACATTAATCTAATAAATAAAAGAAAAAATATTAAAAAAAATATTTTTAAGAGTTAGAAAACTTGACCTGACCAACTTCGACTTTGAAATCACTAATGTCCTGACCGATATGAAACGGCTAAATACTTTTTTATTATTCACAGGATAGACTTCAAATTCGATATCAAGGAAGATTAAAACATTTAATCCAAAAATATAAGAAAAAAATGAAAAAAAAAAAATTTTTAGAGTTAGAAAACTTGACCTGACCAATACGATTTTGCCGCGACTAATGTCCGGACCGATATAAAACTGCTAATTTCTTTTTTATCTTTGGAAGGATTAACTTCAAATTTAGTAGCAAGGAAGATTTCGACATTTAACAAAGAAATAAAAAGAAATGAAAAGAAAGCAAATATTCAAAAGACCAAAAAACTTGACCTGACCAACATAGGCTATTCACCAAAAAAAGACATGTTCGTTTAAAAAATAGAAAGACTATGTATATGAGATTTCTATGTGTCGCCGCTAGTGTTCCGTAACATAATTTTTGAAGACCGCCCAATCATGCCAGTAGCATTTCTTATACATGGAAGGAAGAAAGAAAAAATGCATTCAAAATTTTTCGAATTTGTGTCATCAGTGTTTCCGAAGCTAAACAGAAAGTGTGTGCCATTTATTACAGATCGTGAACCAGGATTAGTGAATGCAATAGAAAAGAATTTTCCGAATAGCGATGTTATAATGTGTTGGAACCATTTGATAACCGATGCCAAATTTAATTTACATAAGATGGGTGCCGATCAGGAAAACATTGCGTTTTATCTATCGAACATAAGAGAATTACTGCGTTGTGATAGTGTTGAAGAATACAAGGAGAAAAAACAATTGCTTATGGTAAAGTGGTCAAAACCGATTGTTTCATATTTCAACAAAATGGAAAAGGATATATTATTTCATTGTGGGAAGTGGATAATTAACAAGTACGAAAATCTTTATGATCCGTTTTCTGGTGTTACCAACAATGCGTGTGAAAGCATGAATGCCGTTATCAAACGATTAAACAAATATAAAGAGCTTCCTGTTGATTGCTTCGTTTTAAGCATGTATTACCTTCAAGTATACTACATAACAGAAATTCAGAGAGGATTAGCCGGTGTAGGAAATTACAATTTGAGACATGAATTCAGACACGCCCGCATTCCAAAAGATGAAATTTGTATACCGAAACGTGTGATTAAACCTGATGATATTGTGAAACATGTGATGTCCGAAATAGATTCTGTGCGAGAAGAATGCGTTAAGGAATATACTGAAAATACATCAACAACTGTGCCGTTAAATCAAGATTCAAATTCTGTGCCGTTAAGTGAAGATTCAAAGTGTGTGCCGTTAATTGAAGATATCGAAAGTAATGAACTACAAAGTGTGGTTTGTGATAGTGAACAATGTACTAAAAACAGTGAAGAAATAACAACCGAAATTCCGAAAGTTGTGTCAATTATTGATAAGAATCTGTCGCAAAAATCGTTAGCCCGTCTTACAGTAGAAAACGACAATGTAACATTTGTGCAACAGCAGAAGGCATTTATGGTGAAGGGAACTCAAGGAAACATATATGCTGTAACCTTACTACCGAAAGAAACATGTCAGTGTCCATCGACAACACAGTGTTACCATATATTAGCTGCAAAAATGTTTTTAGGTGATGAAACCGATAATAAACCGAGAGTTGTTAATTTAAGACTACTATCCAAGAGAAATTTGAAAAGGAACGACAAAAAATCGGGAAGAAAGAAACCACGTGCGAATGATTATGATAACACCGAAGTTTTACCAGCGCCGGATTCAGAAATAGTGGAAAATATCGATATGCCAGAAACACCAGGAAAACAATCGTCCACAACGGAAACACCTAAATCGAAGAAAAAAAATAAATTCAAATGTAAGGAACAGGATATGAACACTTGTGATACACCTAAACAAGGAAAGAAATTGCGATTTTCGGAGGATGAGGATGAAATACAGCTTATATCGCCGTCCGTGTCACCGAAGAGTACCTGCCGACTTCCGATGAAAAAGCGTAAATTAACAACAGACGCTAAAAGTATAAACCATACACCTTGGGTTGCAAGTTTAAATACAGAACACAAACTTATGTTGGAGAATAATTCATGGCTATGTTCCGAAATTATAAATGTGTGCATGAATATGCTAGCGAAACAATTTCCAATTATATCTGGATTTCAATCAACAGGTTTAGCGCCTCTTTTTGATGAAGATAAACAGTGTTGGACAGAAAATTTCGGGACATTCACCAGTCAAGATACACCATGTGTGCAAATTCACCATACCGGAAAATCTCATTGGATTACATCTCTTCAGACTAAAAAGGATAGTGCCGTTTATGTGTTAGATAGTTACAGTAAAGATTTCAGATTAACACCATCGACAGAAATTCAGTTATCAGCTATTTATTCTCATGGAAAAAAGAACTTGCTTGTTAAATTACCTGATGTTCAACAACAAACAAATGGATATGACTGTGGTGTTTATGCTATTGCCAACATGGTGGAATATTGTCATAAAGAAAAACTCAACACTCAAAGACGTACGAAGTTTATTGAGAAATACATGCGACCACATTTAATATCGTGTTTGGAAAAAGGACATTTTACACCATTTCCTCAAAATACAACATCAAGTACAGACTTTGTTAGGATTTTTGCCAGAAGAATTGAGTGTAGTTGTCAGTGTGGTAAACCAGATGTTTTTGAGAACATGATTGGATGTGAAGCGAAAAGAGGACGGATCAGCTGTACTAAGTGGGTTCATCAGACATGTTCAGGAGTTTCAGAAGATTGGTACTGTGATGAACATCGCGATGCTTGAACATTGTATTGTATTGTATTGTATTGTATTGTATTGTATTGTATTGTATTGTATTGTATTGTATTGTATTGTATTGTATTGTATTGTATTGTATTGTATTGTATTGTATTGTATTGTATTGTATTGTATTGTATTGTATTGTATTGTATTGTATTGTATTGTATTGTATTGTATTGTATTGTATTGTATTGTATTGTATTGTATTGTATTGTATTGTATTGTATTGTATTGTATTGTATTGTATTGTATTGTATTGTATTGTATTGTATTGTATTGTATTGTATTGTATTGTGTTGTGTTGTGTTGTGTTGTGTTGTATTGTGTTAACTCCTATATATTAGATATGAACGTTTTTCATTGTGGTAGGTAATCGTGACTAAATTGTTCTTTTCCATTTATCTTTATTGAACTCAATTTAATTGAATGTCTTCTTTTTTTCTGTTAGTGAAAATTGTGTGTATTAATTTATTTTATTTCTTTGTGATTCTAACATAATTGTAATTTATATGCTTGTATATACATCGTTTTTAAACAATACGAATCTCATTTCCTGCCTTTATATGACATGTATAATCACTCAATAACTAGATAAACAAAAAATAAATAATCAGATAGGAAAGAAAACATTCCAATTTGTGATTATAGTAATTAATATAGGTGTGATTTTATTTTAATGGTTCATATCACCTTCCTTTGCGTTTACTTTTATACAGTTTTTTTTTATTTAATTGTTACATCAAGAAGAAAAAACCTTTCCATTTACTTAGTTATTAAAATCATTAATGTAGGTAACTAATTACATTTCACTTTTATAATTATTTAATTGGGTTTAATAATTCAATAATTAGTTTCATTAGTCACACTTATTAATCAAATCAAATGAAGTAGAGTTGTGATGAGGGGTAAACAATACTCACAGTCAGCAACTTGTACTCATATTTCCCCTATCTTTTCATTTAACAAAATTTATTTGCTTTGGATGTTGTGTTTTATGGATAAGATAAATATAAATTCAATGACAATATAAGGTAAGAACTAAAAACGTTTTTGTTTGTGTATTAAGTTTAATAAATTGAAGGTGGTTAGGTCAAGTTTTTATTTCGTATGAAATATTGTTTTCCAATTACTTTATAAAAAGTATTAAAAAGAAAACGTTATAATTTGACTTGGTTTCAAATAAGAACTCAATCATACCAACAATGTTACAAGTATTAGCACTTTTATATCGGTCAGGACATTAGTCACGACAAAGTCGATGTTGGTCAGGTCAAGTTTTTTTACCCTTAAAGTATTTTTTTCCCAATTCTTTTCAAATAAGTATTAAATCAATATTACTTTCTTGTCTGGTGTCAAATTTGAAGTCAATCCTTCCAAAGAAAAAAAGGAAATTAGCAGTTTTATATCGGTCCGGACATTAATCGCGGCAAAGTCGTAGTTGGTCAGGTCAAGTTTTCTAACTCTAAAAATTATTTTTTTTGCATTTTTTTCTTATATTTTTGGATTAAATGTTTTAATCTTCCTTGATATCGAATTTGAAGTCTATCCTGTGAATAATAAAAAAGTATTAAGCCGTTTCATATCGGTCAGGACATTAGTGATTTCAAAGTCGAAGTTGGTCAGGTCAAGTTTTCTAACTCTTAAAAATATTTTTTTTAATTTTTTTTCTTTTATTTAATAAATTAATGTTGTCATCTTGCTTGGTTCCAAATTTAAAGTAAATCCTTTAAATAATGAAAACGTAATTAGCATTTTCATATCCGTCAGGACTTTGTCAGGACATTGTCAGGACATTGTCAGGACATTAGTGTAACCCGAACCGGTTGCGTTTTTTTCCGGGTTACTGGGTTACTGGTACGTTCGCTCTAGAAAGATAAAAAAGACTCTGGAAAGCTTTTGACCGAATATAAAAATGTTTACGAAATAAATAAATAAAACAAAGTATTCCGCACATCTGAGACTTACATCTCAGCAC